CAGATAGAGTGAGGATTTGCTGGGCACTGGGAAGACTGCCAGCCTCCTGGTCCCCCAGCCTGCTGTGTACCGGGTAAATCCCGATAAAAGACCTGCAAAAACCACCGAGGACTCTTACTCCTCCTTTACCCGGTCTGCATGGGATCCTAGAAAACCTGCACTGTGTCCATTCCTGCCCCTACAGAAGCCCAGCCCTGTCTTGTAGATCAAATGGACAAGTACCCAGAGCCACATGGGACTTGTGGAGTGATGGGACCCAGTCGTAGGCCTGTACTGTCTTGGACAGGAACCAGGCTCTGAAAGTCCTGGAGTAGGGAGGTCAAGACATTGACAACGGAGGGAGAGAGACCCCTAGGCAATCACTTGCTGAAAGAACACTGTAGGGTAAGGTAAAAAAAAAAAAAAAGCATCAGGCTTTTCTACCCTCCTGCCATCAGGATAGATGAGGGAAACCTGCGGTCCTGAATGCATGCCTGATGGCGGGCACCCGGAGTAGGGTGTGGGCAGAGGTAGATGGGAGGGCGGCATCACCGGGACGCCAGCAGAAGCAAAGAGAATGAAAGAACGGAACAGCAGGAGCAGAGAAGCAGAGAGAATGAGAGCGAGAGCGAAAGAGAAGCAGAGACCGCCAGAGAAGGCCGGAGAGCCCAGAAAGAGTGAAGACTTGCTGGGGCTGGGAGGCCTGCCAGCCTCCCGGCCCCCCAGCACCCCTGCCTGCCGTGTACCTGCTAAATCCCAATAAAAGCCTGCAAAAGCCACCGAGGGCTCCAGGACTCCCTCCTCCTTACCCTGTCTGCTTGGGTCATAGATACCTGCTCTGTGTTCCCCTGCCTCTACATTTTCCTCTCTTGGGTCACCACCTCCGGAGCATCCGCAGGTATAACCTGAAACTCCCCCTCCCCCATGCCCTCCCTCCCACCCCATACAAGGAAAGACAAGAGAAAGGCAGGCCACTCCATATTGGTAAGCGGCAATTTTAATAACCAAGGGAACTTACTTATGAGGCTTTGTCTGGGGCAGCTGTAAGACGAGAGTTTTCTGTACTACCCACTAAGTATTAAAAGTTTATATATAACCTTTACTGCCTTTAATCATGTACACTATCCAGATGGTCCCAACAGCATTTTTTATCTCAGGGATGTATCCTTGGGCAGCTTCTGGGAGCCAGGAAAGCAAGGGAAACACACATTCCAAGAACCAGGGAAGCGGTGAAAAGCCTCCAATTGCCCGGATTCAACTCATGGGTCAACAAGGGGTCACATTCTCTTTATTGCCTTCCCCAGCACCCTCCAAACTCAAGAAGCGGCCCTTGATCTTGGTTCCTGGGCTGACACATGGCTTTTTAAGACCTCTTTGGCAGATTTCGGATCCTCAAAGATGGGATACGGGAGGCAATGTTTGGCAGTGGTTATAGTCACTCTACATTCTCTGTTCTTTGTGCTTTAGAATTGAAGACATTTATCTCCGGGTTATTCTCTGTAGAAAAAAGGATCCCTCTCCCAGAAAGGGGAGGTTCCTAGCTGTCTAATGATCTGACTAAGCCCCTCCCCTAGTCATAATAGTAGTAGCTAACATTTAATGAGCTACTTTGTTATGTGCCAGACCCTATGCTTAGGGGTTTTATATAAGATTGTCTCTTTTGATCCTCCCAACAAGCCTGTGAGGTAGGTACTCTTATTCCTGCTTTGCTGGGAAGTCACCCAGCTTGCAAAGGGGTTTGAAGTAACAGCCTGCAGGAACCACATTAAGATTCAATTTTAAAATAGAATTTTTTCCTTTATAGAAATAAGAGTATGCTGGCTATATTGGGGGGAATAGACTTTAAATAACCTTGTGATGGGTAGAGTCTATGTAGGTAAATATGACTGACACCCAGGAACACATACATTGGACACAACTGAAATTCGTATTTGTTAAATTCCCCACCCTGCCCACATTCACAGGCAGTACTCCCACCCCCTTCTAGCCACACTTCCCCTTCCCTCTTGACTGAGAAAGTGCTTGCCTCATAAACACACGTGCCGTAAAGAGAAATGTGGATGATCCATGCTTCCTACGAACCAGGGTTTACAGTCTTGTAGGGTAAAGAAAATATCAGGCTTTTCTGCCCTTCCGCCATCAGGATAGATGATGGATCCTTGTCCTGAATGCATGCCCGATGGCGGGCACCTGGAATAGGGTGTGGGCATAGGTAGATGGGATTCAGCTGAGCTAAGACTGCTTTTTAAGGGTGGCGTCACGGGGACGCCAGCAGCAGCACCAGTAGCAGCAGTAGCAGCCAAAGCAGAAACCGAAAGAGAAGCCGAGAAGCAGCAGAACGAACGCTAGAGAGCCCAGATAGAGTAAAGACTTGCTGGGGACTGGGAGGCCTGCCAGCCTCCCAGCCCCCCAGCCAGCACCCCTGCCTGCCATATGCCTGGTGAACCCCAAATAAAAAACTTGCAAAACTACTGAGGACTCTGACTCCTCCTTTACCCGGTCTGCATGGGATCAGAAAACCTGCACCGTGTCCAGTCCTGCCCCTACAAGTCTCCTGCATGATAAAATGCTTCTTCAGTAGAGACACTTGCTGGGTGAGAATAATTGTCAGCAGAATTTTCCAATATTATTGATTGGGCAAATTGGCATGTAGGGAAAATGGAGTGGCCCAGGCTTTTTGTCTGCCTTCCCATTGCTGGCCTCTATGGCCTGCACCTGCAATCTTGCTTTCCTCCTAGGTTTCATTGTCCACACATGATATCACGTTGGTGCAAGAGGCATTTAGGAGCATGAGCACAGGGCATGCACAGATATCTGGGGCGGAGAGGTGTGAGCATGGGGCCTGTGATTGTGGACACCTGCGTCAAGAAGCCAGTGCCTGGGGTGTGTGCATATATAAATGCAGAAACCTGGGCCTAGAAGCAAGGGATTAAAGGAACTCCTCAGCTCTCACATTCACGTTGGCATCACTCTGGAGCAAGATGAGATGAGATAGAGGGGGACTGAGAGAGAATGCCAGAGAGAAGAGAGAGAGTGTAGATTGTGGGAGCTGGGGGGTTTGGTTGCTACCTGACACCTGGCCTCCCTGCCTGGCCTTCCTGCCCAGCCTGTCTGCCCACTGGTCTGCCTGTTGTACCTGTTTCCCTGCTTCAGCATTAAAAGGCCTGTCAAATCTATTGACGGCTCCAGGACTATCTTCCATCTGCCCAAATCCACAGTGAACCTGCCTGGTCTGGGATGCTTCCCCAACATGGTGGAAAGCAGGTAGATGGAGAGTGGCCAGAGAAGACCTCGGAGAATGTAGTATTTTTGGACAGGGAAAGTGGAGCACTGACTGGGACATGCGGATCTGTATTTGAGGAGTATCCTGTCATGATTATTTGTACAGTCTTGGGCAAGTCACTTAAACATTCTGTACCGCAAATTCCTCATACATTTCACAACCAGGGTTACAACTGATGTTTTAAGCCCCCTTCCAGCTTCATGGCTAATAAGATGAGCCTCACTCAGAATCTCATCAAAGACCCACAAAATGTATGGGGGGGTTCCCTTGGAGATAAGGCCATGTGCAATATATAACAGCAAGTCATGCAGCCTTAGCCAGTATCAGGCCCTCCAGATGGGGTTTTAAGACTGAACTTTCTGTGTAAAGTTTCTATCCCTCAGAAACAATTATGGGCTAGTTGGTTTACATAGTCAGGCAAGACCATATAGGGTAGGAGTTAAGAGCATGAGTTATGGAGTTGGACCTTCATTTGAAAATCAGTTCTGCTGCATCCTGGGGGCATACATAATATACCCTCTCCAAACATCACTTACTGCCTCTGTAAGATGATGATAATAGAACCGACCTTGTAGGCTCATGAAGAGGAAAGACAATAATGTATGTAAAGCACTTAGCCTGACACCTGGCAGAATGGAAGTGCTCAGTCAACCTTGTCTGCTACTACTATTGACACGCTTATTTCTATCAGTGTAATTTTCCTGACATGGGCATGGCTAAGCTCCAGCATTTTTCCTGGAGATAGCTTTTCTTTCTGGGTGGAGTTTGAGAAAAGCATATGTAAATCTTTCTGGCCTAAAGTAGCTCTAGAGTCAGATCAATTTCCTGCTCTCTTCTTCCAGGTTATGGGACCTTGGACAAATGATTTAACTTCTGGTGCCCTTTAGTTCCCTCAGCTGTGAAATTCAGTCAGGTACATTCCCTACCCCCAAAGGCGGTTGTGAATCAGGTGAGTGTGACCTGAGTGCTGTGTCTGCCCATCCAGAAGGCATTCAATCAACGGTGGTTGTGGAGCTGATGGTGCAAGTAATAGTCGTATCATAGTAAATAAGTGCCACCACTCCCACCCAGTGTCACCCTTGGGATGGAGGGTTGAATGTGTTCACACGTCTACAGGTTTTGCATGCTGTAGGGTAAGTGATTTTCAGGCTTTTCTGCCCTCCCACCATTAGGATTGATGATGGACCCTTGTGGTCCTGAATGCATGCCTGATGGCGGGCACCTGGAGTAGGGTATGGGCATGCGTAAGTGGGTACACCTGGGCTGAGAGACGGTGCTTATAAGGGCGGCGTCACAGGGATGCCAGCAGAACCACGAGAACAGAGAGCAGAGAAGCAGAGAGAACGAGAGTGAAAGAGAGAGCGAAAGAGAAGCAGAGACTACCAGAGAAGGCCGGAGAGCCCAGAGTGAAGACTTCCTGGGGGCTGGGAGGCCTGCCAGCCTCCCGGCCCCCCAGCACCCCTGCCTGCCATGTACCTGGTAAATCCTAATAAAAGCCTGCAAAAGCCACCGAGGGCTCCAGGACTCTCTCCTCCTTTACCCCGTCTGCTCGGGTCATAGATAACCTGCTCCGTGTCTTCCGGCCCCCTTACACATGCCTAACCAAAGTCTTAGCAGAACCAGCCCTTGTTGATCCCGAAGGGACAAGAAATTGTTGCTTGGATTCCCAGACAGTGTCTGGGAATTAAAATATTTGGAGGCATGACTGAAAGTGATTCAATAGAGCATAATTCTCAGCAGAAGAGTTCTATTTATTTTTTTCCAGCCTTCTAATGCCTAAGAACCTTAAGGAAAAACATAGTTCTATGTTGATCCCATATTTTCAAGGCTCAATTTCAGATGGTGATGGACATGTTGATCACCGACGTCATCAGGTGTATCTAGGTGTAATGACGTAAACGTTGTCTTCATTCTCATAGAGACCAGCTAATTTTTCCTATGGGCACAGGATCTATGTGATGCCCACACAGGAATTGGTGGTAAGATTCATGTGTATGGCTAGAATGTCGGTTGAGGAACAGTAGCAGTTCTCAGGGATGTGATATCACAGTAGGTGGTGTTGCATGGGCACTGTTGAGATGTGGCAAATCAAAATAAAAAAAACTGAGTGGCCTGCTGGATCTGGAGAGGAGGCCAGTTACTCAGGGAGGATATTAGATGTTACTTTGACTTCATTTTCTCTTTAGTAATCTGCTAAGTCTAACAAGAGAAAGAAAATAGCCAGTCACTGCAAGCAAAGCTAAGCACCTGTCCTGCCTAGATAACTTCAGGTTTAGAAGGTGTTGGTGATTTTCTAAAGAGGTGTAGACTGCACCCCACAAGGCACCCACCCTTTTCCCCCTGGCTCTATACTTTTTCGCTTTTGCCCTTCCACATTGCTGCTTCATTTAAGACATACTAGCCATAGGATCCAAAGCTTTCTTCAAGGGGACTTTCTAATAACATATCCTCCGCGTCCCAGGTATCCACCATCATTTTTGTCCTGGGTTCTGAGGTGATAGAAATAAGACATGGATTTGAGTTTTGAGCAGATATTTAGGGAAAGTTTCTGACACCTAGAAAAACACTTCCTTCCCTCTTATTAGCTAGATTACTTCTATTCAGCTCTCATCCTCATCTCCCATGCCCACATCACTATCTTTCTCCTCCTCAGTGACCCTCGCCAAGTCCAGACCCCTCCATTCTGGTGGAACAACACAAGGCTCCTGGGGTGGATGGAAGGGTCAGACACCTAGAAGATCAGGTGACATACTATTAACAGCCCACGGTCTTGGGGACTGGGGTCCTAAGGAACACTGAGGAGTGGCCTTTATTGTATTGGGAGAAATGAGAATTGTGTAAAATAAAAAATAGAACAAAATCTGAAGAAAAGCCTTTTCTCAAAATCATCTAGAATCTCACCAATCATCTAGAAATCACAACTGCTAATGTTTTGGTGATTTTCCTCTAGATATGTTATGCATGTAGCCACATCTTGCTGTTCAAGTTGTACTCTGGTTGGCTATTTTCTCTAGTAAAATACCAGCTTGTGGATAACTTTCCCTGTCTGTAAATATAGCTAACCATCAGCTCTTTTCAGGTCTGCATATTATTTGATTGTGTGGATGCACCGTATTTATTTAGTTATTCCCCATTCTTGAACATTTAGATTGTTTCTAAGTTTTAGCTATTATACACAACGCTGTGATTGAACAACCATGAACATCCTTTTTCTTTGTATTTGTGTCATTATCTTAGCATATAGTTCAAGATTATGAGATGCTTGGCTTAAAAGGTTTCCACAATTTTAAAGTATCTCTCGGAAAATAGGAGGGACAACTAAACTACACTCCATAGAGCTTGTGGGAATTTGTGCTTTCACACTGGAAATCATAACCTTTATCATTACCCTATCGTCATCTAAAGATCTTGGGTCACCCATTGCTGGGACATCATACTGGGTTACCAAAAAGTGTTTCCCAAGCACTCTTCCTGCACTTCTGCTTCTTCTACACTGTGTCCTGATCATCAGCCACAGTACGAGTAAAGAGTTTCAAACTCAAAATAATACTCCTTTATAAATTGTGAGAGATGGCCTGGTAGCACAAGGGGTTGAGTCTCAGCACTATCAAGCTACTACCAGGCTCTGCAGCACGAGTTCCATCCCCAGCCAGGGAGCTACCCACATGGCACAGCAGACCTCTCCTGTCTCACCCGCTGCTCCCCTCAGCAGTGTATTTCAGTCAGTCTGCCTGTTCTGCTTCCCACTCTGTCTCTGGTGAATCCTCCCACCACCCCCTCACCTCTGGCCTATACCCCAGTTCTTGTATGCATAAATAAAATTAAAAATAAATCTTAAAAAAATAAATAAATTGTGAGGGAAGGCCTATATATCTTTTCTTCCCTGCTAACCACTGACCCATCATTACCTTTGAAAAGATCATCATCCACAGCATGTGGAGCTGGGATTGGCAAGTTACCACCACTCTGATTGTGGCAAAACTCCACAGTGTTGGAAACACCTTTTCCTCTACTACATTCACCTTCCTCCATGAGTTCATCCAATGCAAATGTTACGGATATATTCTTTTTGTTTGATCTGAAACCTTCTTTCTGTACAACAAGGAGATGGAGGAGGAAAAAGTCAGGTGGTGCCACAGAGTGGTCCCTGTGCAGTTTTACCACCACTAGCTGTTTACCTGTAGGATTGGCTTTAGGGGTTTAGCTTCGACTGAGTGTTGACCTGCACGATGTGTTTTCCCTTTGAATCGCCGAAACCTAGCGGAGAAGCTGGGGAAGATAGAAAGGACAGAGTCAGAGTGAGAAGACATACTTCGAGCTCCTTGATTGAATGCAGCTATTACCCAGTCTGCACCATATGCCTTTGCACAATGAAAGGGAGAACAGAAAAGAGGACATTTAGATCTTTTACTGTTCAAAACCGTGGTCACCTCCTGCTATCTCTTTTCCATCTTCCTTTACTCTCCCATCTTATTGGAAGGATCAGAGAACTGGAAGCAGGGAATGTGGTGTGGCTCCAGGACATTAATCTATAGAATATTATGAATAAGCTCCTCGAGGGACTCACGCTTCCTTTTTCCTTGTATAAGCCAGGGAGTAAGAACCTTGTTTTGCAGAGGCGCTAATACCAATAGCTTTATGTTTCTACAACTCACCCCACTGACATGGCCACTCATATTGTGCTGAAAGTAGGGAGAGGGAGGCGTACTTAACAATGTTGGAATGTTTGTGGTCACTGCCCAAGTCCCATTTGGGCCAATGCATCTTGACAGTGTTGCTCAGCACTATAGACTCCCAGTACCTCCCAGAGCTCCCTGCTTATGTTGAAAACTGACTCGTGCCTCTATTCTTATCAGTATACATAGCTGAGGCAGTACAGTACCTATCTGACGAGCATCTTTCACCAGATTTTTTCATGCTCTTAGAGGTTGAGATGCTCGACGTGAGTGGCTGCTGCTGTGGTGTGTGCAGCTCTTCGTATTTATTGTCAATGGCAGCCAACAGCCAACGAAGACTTTCAATGATGGACCGTTGCTGCTTCTTAGAGAGGGTTTTGATGACTGAACAGGGTTCCTATGACAAAAAGAGAAGAGAAGGCCCCAGCTCATGAGTCTGGGACACTTGGGGCCCACATTTCCAAACAGGAGAAGTCCACATAAGTTCTGTTGGGCCTAGAGTGGTTCTTAAGACTTCCTAGGAGAGAGGGGGCGGAGCAACATGGCGGCGAGGAGACGCTGCGAGTAAGATCTCCCATTAAAAAAAGTGAATAGGGAGGAAAAAGCGGCAGGTCCAGTGAGAACTGGGACACGGAAGATAAACGGGTGACGCCAGCGAACTGCCCGAAGAAGAAAGTGGCCATAAAAGAGGACGAGAAGGGAGGGAAGCGCAGAACCCTGCTCCCCTCCCCCGCCCACAGAGGCGGCACTCTCCGACCGGCAGAGAGGAGGAAACAACAAACCAAAACAACCAACAAGAACAAACGACGCAGCAAGCGGGACTGTGAGCGGAAAGGAACTATTGCAGCCACCACCCCGTGAACGGGAGCTGAGGCGAACCCTGCAGGATCCGCCGCGGCGGTGAGCGAACGGCTCCGGGCGCCATTAGAGAAGAACAAAGACCCCGGGAGACGCGCACACAGCCCGGGCTGCCGGTAGCCTGCGCGGGAAACGCGGCGCGCCTGGCGCGCTTGAAAAGCAAGTGCAGACCGGATCGCGGCTGCCCAGGTCCCCGCGCCTGCGACCTAGGCTTGCGGGGAGACGACCTAGGCTTGCGGGGGAGACGCACGGAGGTCCTCACTGAGGTGAAGGTCCCTCCCTGAGTAAGCAGGAACCAGGCGCCCAGGCACGGGAGCGGTGCAAAAGGCGCCATTCCCGCGCCACTGAACTGGGCTACAGCCCGCGTCCTGGACCTGAGGGCTTTGAACTGAGACCCGGGGCACGAAAATTCGGGGCGTGGTTTCTCCACGACGGTGGGGCACAAGGCAGACACAGCACCCCAAAGCTGTTGAGGTGTACCCTACCATTCCCGCTCTGTTCTCTGTCCCACGGGGTGGGGGGAGGCGAAAAACAGCTCCCCAAGGACAATAGGAGAGATCTCTGGCGCCACCTAGCGACCAGGGAAAAAAAAGTCACTAACACCCTATAAAACAGGACATTTCTTAAGTCTGCTTGAAAAGGGCAGAAGGTTTCTGGAGGACCCAGTGGCCAGCCGGAAGTTATTCCACGCCAGGCCCCTTCCGACCAGCAGTCTGAGCCCACCGAGGGAGCAGGCACCCACGTCCGGGGCAGACCGGGTGCGCAGAAGAGTGTGCCTGAAACCGGAGGCGCAGGGACTGCATCCCGCTTCGCCATTTGAGAACAGGACATTTCTTCAGTAAAAACTGCCTAAAACCAGCAGAAAGCTCCCCCAGAAGACAGAGATGGCTCCTGGAAGAGCCAGAGGGGAGCGGAGAAGTTCACCCAAAGATGTCAGTCAGTCCGAGCAACACAGTGTCCCAACGCATACGACAAATTAGAAACAGACAGTAGGGAGTAGAATAGAAGAACCAACGCAACCTAAAAACTCCTCAGAAAGAAGCCACACCACAAAAAGAAAACCACTCCCAGATTGGCAACGACAGCGACTTGAAGAACTTCTGAGCTTCCAGAAAGAGAATTTAAAATTGCCATGATTAAAAAAGTGATAGATCAGAAAAAGGAAATTGAGTCCCTAAAGAGGGAAGTAAGAGAAATGCAGGAGATCAAAGAATTAATGGAGGAACTAAAGAACTCTGGGAAAAGCAATTAAAGCAGAATAGATGAAATGGAAGAACGAATAAGTAATCTTGAAGACACAGAAATAAAAAGAACCAAAAACAGAAAAGGAAAGAGAAAGTACGAAGGAAAGAATGAAGAAGAAAGACTTCGGGAACTATCTGACTCCATGAGGAAAGGAAATATAAGAGTTATAGGAATTCCAGAAGGAGAGGAGAGAGATGTAGGAACAGAGAAATATCATGGATATAATTGAGAGAAACTTCCCAAATGAGAAGAAGGAGCTGAAATTGATATACAAGAAGC